GAAGGAGAGGGTCCCCTAGCAATTAGCCAGGCGGTGGCACAGCACCGAACATGCTCAGCGCCTCTCTAAAGCCGATGGGGATGCCTCGTGAGTAGAGGCGGGATAGCAGTGCTTTCCAAACTCTGACCAAGACTCTGTTTTCTCACTCCTGATGACCTCTCTGAACCCTCCTGCTCTGAAGCAGCGGCTGCAGGGAGGTGTCTGTGCAGTGACCCTATGACTGGGCACAGGCTGGGCTCAGTTAAGGACAGGTAGAGATAAAGTTCTCTGTAATCAGGAGTGGAAAGGAGCCGAGAGGCTTTAATTGTCTTACTCCACATATATTAATGTATGAAGCATCGTTAGAGACTGTGAAAGAGTAAATACATCCTATCATGGCACAAAGACAACTCACATTCCTAGAAATTATGAGTCAGTACAAGCTGATATTATTTCTCCATCTCTATCTATGCTACAATTATTTTTCCGCCCTCTGCTTCCTAGCTCAGACTTCCCCCCACAGCACTGTAACTGAGAACACCAGCCTGACACCACCTGCTATTCATTAACATCCATCTAAATGAGAGAGGGAGAGAGACCTGTGTTTGTTGCGGGGATAATGGACAGGAAGAGATTCTTTCTGGAGGCTGTCATTTGCTCCTGGGATTTGCCTGCACTGAGCATTGGGCTTTTCGTTTGTGACCAGTGGTGTTACACTAAACCACGCTTAAGGAAGCGCTCAGAGCCCCTGTTGGAAAGGTAAGAGCTCTTTTCTCCCTGGCCTGGTTTTAGCCCTTAGATTGGGTCTGCAAGTGACTGCCAGGCTGTGCAAGGTCTGAGTCCTCTCCACACCATGTATCTCTTTCCATCCACTGGACATCTCTTGACATGAATCAGCTTCTTCTTATTTCAGTCTGTGTTGCCCGCAGTTAAAATGCCGAGGGAATTTCCACGGGAGCTTTCAGCCCTGGATTCCCAGTTGGGTACCAAACCTAAACTGGGGCTGTAGCTCCAGCATTTCTCATGGATAGCTGAGAAATCCACAGCTCCTGGCTGTGGATCCCGACAGCCGCCCGCCCTACCCATCCCACGGAGCTCTGCTGCGCTTGGCACAGCATCCCGTCTCGCAGCGTGCGGCATCCTCCTCCTTTTGCTTCCCATCCGCTCCAGCTGCCTGCCTTCCATCTGAGCTGCTAAGCTGAGCTGTGCCTCAGCCTTCCCCCACCCCATCACCCCACATCAACCCCCCTCCAGAGCAGAGAGCTCCTGAGGAGGAAAGCTTTGCCTTCTCTGCCATCCCACATGGACTGTGTCCGTGGCCCTGCCGTTACGGACCCTGCCTCCCTCCCAGCACTGCCTGCGCTGGCTCTCCTGGTTCTACAGTGCTCTTCAACGTGACGGTGAAGTCCCCATCCCATGGAAACTGAGAAAAAGACCTTTTCTTGTTGCGAGAAGGTAACATTTAAAGGCATCCCTTGGGCTGCTCTATCTGGCAGCCCAGCTGGTGCTCTTTTGTGTGAGTGCCACTCTTTTGAAATGCCAGCTCTGGTCTTAAAGGCAGCCAGCAGAAGGTACGGCTCGCTCTCCCTGTAATTGATTCCTCATCACTCGCTGCTGGCCTTTATTCTCCCTTTTGATTGGGAAGAAAGAATAATATAGATTACAAGACAAATGTGAAGATTGCCTTGTATGGGGAGAGGTAACAACAGGATTGCTGGTGTCCTGGGATTTCCTTTGTGTGTGGCTGTCTCTGGTCAGCTGGAGAGATTTCGCAGCAGATAGATGGTCTGTCGCTGTGTGTGCCTCGCCAGCAGGTGCCCTTCGGAAATGCCAGACACATCTGAGGGGGGAGTTGGGGAAGGGGCGATGACCATGGAAATAGGTAACAAAACTGGCCAGCTGGATTTGGACTCTGGTACAGGAAACTGGGCATGATTGTAGGAGAAAACCAGGCAAAAGGGGTGGCTGCAACAGCTGGCGCTGGAGAACATCTCGGATGGGCCTTTCACATCTCCAGTGATGGTCGGAGAACAGGTCCTGCTTTCGTTCTTCAGTTTGTGACCACTGGAAAGGCAGGATAGCTCAGGCACTTCTGTTCCATAGTGTATTCCTCCTCAGGTCTCATAAAATATTTGCTATGTTTCTGAGTTCCCCTCTAAGTGAGTGAGTGTTATCCTTCTTGATTGTGATCATCATATCATGTCAGATACATGGAGATCTAGTCTGTGCTCTAGGAAGAGCACCTTACAAGCATCGGGTGGCTGGTTTGGTCTGAATTTGTGTGACATGCTGGAAGGTACACAGGGAGTGAAGATGGTTAATAAGGCTTGAGATGGGTATGGCTAGATTGCATGGAGGTGGGTGTGTGCAGGGGTGAATTCACCAGAGGTCAGGAGCTATGGATGTCAATATCTCCCATTTGAGCCCAAGACTTAGTCAATGGCTTTTCATAACTGTAAGTGGCGTCCTGGAACAACGCTTGTTTTTAGGGCAGTGGGATGAACGCAAAGCTTCCCCTTGGACAACACAAAGCCCTGCAGCACTTGTTCCATCACAGTTGGCTTTCAGGGACAGACTAAAATATGAAGATAAAGAAGCTCTGAGCGCTTGGAAAGATGACCTGTAGCTTTCTGTTAGTCCAGGACTGCAATGTTTCATGGCTCTGCCTGGAGCTCAGAGATGAAGGTTCATTTCCATGTACCTCCATCACAGGCTACATGCTTTTAAACTTGACTGGCAACCTGTGACAGACTGACCCGTGGTAGAAGGTCATAAAGTAGAAGACCTGCACAATCTTTACACATCCACAACACTGTGGACCCAGTTCGGATGGGGTAGAGGCTTCATCCCTGTTTAGTTTGAAGTCCTGGAGTCTCTGCCATGCTTCCCACAAGCACAGTCCCAGTGACAGCATTACTGGGAAAGGGAGGTGGTGTGGTTCTTTCCCAGCTTCAAGGAGGCAGGGAGACTTAGCAGGGACTGCAGGTAGGGCTATGAGATCTGACTCCCCTTCACAACTCTGATTGATGTGTCAGACAGCCATGAGCATGCTGCTCATCTGGTTTGACCTTCAGTTGTCCATGTGTAGACAGGGCTGGTGAAACGCTGCATGTTGTGGGCAGATAAGGGAGCTTCCTTTCCAATTGCAAACCATTTGAAGAATGCCTGCTCGCATTCAGTATTGTTCTGCTAGGGAATTCAGACACCAAAAAGGTTGAAACATTTTTCCTGACACTGCAAGGACATGGAGCTGTCAGCCAGGATATGCTCAGGCTTGGATTGGGTTTGGGCCAGGCATTCACAGCCAGCGCTTTGGGGGCACTAATTCGCATTCCAGGTGCTTCTCTGGATCCCTTTCTGTCTCACCTTCACTTTTTTCCTGGGGCATCAAAGTTCATTTGCTGCTTGATTTATCCCAGTGCTGGCTGCTCAGCCAGGCTCTTGCACAGCAGATCCTAACTGCAAGTCCCCAAATGAGGGTAGAATAGGCAGTGGTTGTTCTTAATCCTTGCTTGCTAGCAGCTTCATGTTAATTCTTCATTCACTCACTGGCTCTGGCGTCTGGAATGAGCTGCTCTGAACACTCTCCTGTTGACACTGATCTCTGGGGTTACGGAGTTCCTGCATGGGCCATCAGTTTGGCCAAGGGCCTCCGTGGGGACTAGGTATCCTTCCTAGAGAGACTTTCCCCCGTAGGAAGCTCATGAGAGCAGGGAGGACACCAAGAAACCAGCAGCTCAAAGCTGGTTTTGCCTGCGGCTCTGTCATGACTTCTCTCATCCTTGGCACCGTGTTTCCAGGAGAGAGATCCCAGTCTGTCATGACTTCTCTCATCCTTGGCACCCTGTTTCCAGTAGGGAGATCCCACTTCCTTACCTCTGTCTCCCCAGGGTTTTGCAGTGCCAGCTGGTCTCAAGAGAGAGAGAGAAAAATAAGTTAGTTCACTCTTTGTCTTGGGTTGTGGTGTGCATCTCAAACTGGGTACCAGCGAAGGAGGGAATTGGATACACTCTGCCTGTCCCGTCAGGCTTTCATCCAGTTTTCTCAGCTAGCCGTAGTGCTAATGCTTCTGAATATTTCCAGGCAATAACATAGAATCATAAATGCTTCTGAATATTTCCAGGCAATAACACAGAATTATAGACATGGGTTAGTGGGTTGGGTGGTGTTGGGCTGACGGTTGGACTTGATGATCCTTGAGGGCCTTTCCAACCTTAATGATTCTATGATTCTGTGATTTCATCATCTTTATTCTGCATCTCTGAACTCCCTGGGAGATATCATCTCTCACTTTCTGGCAGCCAGCCACTTGACAGGGGTATTTCCACTGTGTCCTTCACACAGTGCCCCCAAGGTTGATGTGCCAAGAATTAAGAGTTTCAGGGGATCGTATAGGAGGGAGGATACATAGGAAAGGCTTTTCCCTGTTTTTTCCTCTGACCTCTCACTGCTGCCCTTCAGAAGGGTATACCCGGGGGGGAACACCAGGTATCAAGTGCAGACAGACTATGGGCATATAAGTAAGCGTTATTATTGCCTCTCTGCTCTCACGTGTAATATATCTCTCTACAGAGACCAGAAACACTGATGAGCAACAGCATGACTACGAGTTGTGATTGATTTTTTTGGTTCACCAGCTGAATTGGGGGGGGGAAGTGTTTCAGGTCAACCCCGAGTGAAAGTTTAAGGAAGACAAATTGAGGTGGTTTCATTTGTGGGTGGAGGGTGGGGGTTACGTCAGGTGTTAGTGGTGAACAAGGAGAGGCAAATGTGTCCTGGGCTCCCCAGTTCAGGTGGGATGTAGAGAAACTGGAGTGGGTCCAAGGGAGGGGCATCAGGATGGCCAAGGGCCAGGAGCAGAAGTCCTGGGGAAGAGAAGTTGAGGGAGCTGGACTTACTCAGTCTGGCAAAGAGGAGGCTGCTATCAGCCCTTGGTCTCCAACTGTTTGAAGGACAATTTCCAAGATAAAGCCAAAATCTTAGCACTAGTATTAGACAATAGGGAACTTTCTCTCTTACAGGCTCCTTGAATCTGTTAGTTCGTGTGCGGAACAAGCGAGCCATCGACACCCAGGTGTGGTCGCTCAGTGGGAACCGGGGGAACATGTGGCAGCAAGCACACGTGCCCATCAACCCACCCGGACCCTTCCAGGTAAGTCAGGTCCACAGCCAAGGAGCCACCTGCCACCTGTCTTGTCCGTGTGCCACGGGCTGTAGGACACTTCCCAGCAGACATGGCACAGGCGCTGGGAGGACACTGGGAGCTCTCCACTCCCAGAGTCACTGGGGCAAGGGAAGAGTTTGGGGGATGCACAGAAATCAAATCCACTTCTCTCTAAAGCCACCCTACTTTGTTACATGCAAGCATCCCTTTGGCACTATACATTTTCTAGGACTCGGCACCTCTGTACCAGCTTATGGAGTCGTCTGTGCATACCTGGGAAGTGGGCTGCTTTGTTACTGGATGTTTTCTTGCTGATGGTTTTGCCCACGTGCTGCTTTGCTGTTGTAGGTTTGTTTAGGAGAGCTGGGTCTGTGCAGGCTGGGAAGTCATGGCACTGTGGCAAAGCACCCAGCGTGATTTTGAGTCCTTTAAAATAATAAATAAGAATGTCGTTACTCTTGGGAGCCCTGTTCAGTACTGGTTGGTTTGTTAGTGCAGCACACTTAGTAAAACAGAGCTCTGCACGCTCATTTATTGCTCTACAGATGCTCAGCACACAGAGGTTTGTCCCACAAGTGGTGGGGTCCAGCTCTCCAGATCCTATCAGTACTGGAGAAACAGGGAGGAATCATTCCCTTGGGGACCCAATAAGATCTGGTCTGTGCCCTGCTCACCTCTGCAGAGCCTGGCACTGTGGGAAGGGTCCTTCACAACCACAGCCTCAGGCTGGGCTCTGTCCCATGCTCTGCTTGCAGATCATCTTTGAAGGTGTCCGGGGCACGAGCTACGAGGGGGACATTGCCATTGACGACGTCACTCTGAAAAAGGGGGACTGTCCAAGGAAGCCAATTGGACCGAATAAGGGTGAGAGTGTGCGTGCCTCAGAGGAAAACAAGTCTGTGTGAGCGATGTGCAGCTAATTTCAAAGCCTGTTGATGTGTTGGTGGAACTCAACAAGATGGTTGACTCCATCAGCAGAGGGGCTGTCAGACTCTTGAACCTGTTCTTTACAGTTGTGAGTTAGCAAGAGCTCAGAGGAAGAACCAGATCCCAGCCACCAGCATGCTGAAGTCTGCACCAGTATGTTGGGTTGAGGGTGTCATCCCCCAGCAGCTAAAGGCTTCTGCAGTATCTCATTTCCTGGAAACGCTAGGTATGGCAGCTTTGGAAAGGGAAAGACCTTCTGCAGGCTCTAATGGCCTCTGCAGCATTAACTCAGTTCTTCTCCAGGAAAAAAAAAAAAAAAATCTGCCTTTTGGGGCCTGGAGCCAGGGAGGGGTGGGCTTCTTCCCATTGCCCTCTGAGCAGAGAGGGCACAGCCAGGCAGGGTGCTGCACATGCAGGATGGGAGCAAGCTACCTGAGCTGTATATCACCTCCCTCCCCATCCTGACAGTGAGAGCTTGAGCTAAATCCCACCAATGCCTTTCCAGTCCATCCACATCATCCTGATGCCAGCATTGATGAAATGGAGACAATCCCACTCTCCCTGAGGTTGCACCGTAGGTTGAAGCCATAGCAAGGTGCATAAGCAGTATGTGAGCATTAGTCCTTAGGTGGGCATCACTGGTGTGCCTCGTGCCTTCGTCCTGTCTGTGCCCTTGATAACGTGCCTCGGGTGGGCAGGAGAGCAGATGTTCAGAGATGCAAACCAGAGCCAGACAGGCACTTGTGAGCAAGATTCAATTTGTTTTATTGACTTTTGAAGGAAAAAAACCTTGTTGAGGAAGAGCCGCTTTCAGCAATTTTCTTAACTCCAAAGGTGAAAGGGGAAACAAAATATTTTAAAAGTCAGAACACCCTAAAAATTTCCAAAATTTCAGGTGCAATTAGTCTGTTTCAGCCTAGGATGGCCAAGCTGTAGCCAAAACACAAGCAGAATCTTTTGTTTGACTCAGATTGAATCTTCTGTAGAAGAAAGGAGGATTGGATTGCAAAAGTAACTAAGATTCAACCTTTTCTCCCAAGTTGGAAAATAAATAATTTTGGGAAGCCTTGAGGAATGTCCAGGGAAGGCTTGAAAGATCTTCCAACAGATCCAGGAGGTGCCTCGAGGTTTGGGGGTGGGGAGGAGAGGCTGCGACACTGATGTGTGCTAACTTGTTTGATGAGCTTTGGATCCATCCCATCACTAATTCTTTTTCTCTCTTCTCGGCTGGCAGCGGTTGCTCTTCCAGGAAGCGGTGTCCCAGCCCTGCACAGCCCTTATCTTTGTGGCCCATTGACTTTCTTCCTTTATGTGCTGCTCAGATGATGGCAAGCGAGCGCTCCTGTCTTCGGACCAAGACATCCCTGCTCCTTTCCTACTCGGCCACCTCTGCTCCTCTTCCTCCCTTCCTCACTGGCACACCAAAGTGTCCATATGTTACCAAAGACTGACAGGCATGACCACGCAAAGGGATCTGGTTCAGAACTGGAGCACTCCTTGACAAAGTCATAATGTCTAGAACAAAATTTAAAAATAAAGACAAAATTTTTTTTAAAAGACGTGCACGAGAGAGAGAGAGGGGAAGGAAGGAAAGAAACAGAAACACACAGAAACGAAATGATGAAAGACAAAAATAAGAATGAAGAAATGTGAAGAGCAGATGAAGGAGGAAAAAAACCACACCCATATTTCCTTGGGAATGTCAGACAGGGCTTCCTCAGGGAAGTGGGAACTTGTTTTAAACAAACAAACAAAAATATATTAAAGCACAAATTTCTACCAGAACAGTTACCTTCTTTACTGCAGAGCCCACAGCTTAGTCAATGCTATACCGCAGTACTCCCCTTGTCTCCCCGTGCTTCCCCGCTGGCTG